TTCAAAAAATAATGATGTCCAAAAACACAATATGACTTTAAATACTTTCCATATGCCATATGCCTAACCCTTCATTAGACACCTAAAAAGTGCTGCCACCAATGCAAACGCTCTATACACTTTTGAAATGAAGGTTTGAAAAGGAGGTTTTTATGCCATAGAAGAAAATCTTTGGTTCCCCAAAGAACCTTCTTTAAAGATCTTTTTTTTCTTAGTGTGACGAGCATTTTAATTTTAATATTTTAAAGAGACTTTTTCGACTAGGAACCAGTTTTGTGAAATGAAAGGTTCCATTGATATTCATGAAACCGTACAGATGCCAATAAGGAACTTTTATTTTTAAGAGTTTAATCAGGGACATAAATGCATGCCTTTAACGGCTTTATTGGCTTCTATGGTTCTATAAAGAACCTTTAACATCCATGGAATCTTTCCATTGCACAAAAGATTCTTTAAATATATTTTAGATCCGTAAAACGTTATTCTTCACTGTTCACTGAATTGTTCTTTGAAAGATTCTTCTTATATCACTGTGTAAACTCCATTTTGGAACCTTTATTTTTAGAAGTGTGGAGTAAAATCAGTCCCTCAGGACGTGTGGTGATGTAACTATAAACAGATTTGCATAGTCCTGATTCAAATTATTCAGTCTTACCCATCTTCTGATTGAATATCAATGTTTTCAGATACTCTGTGTTTGGAATATAAACGTACAGCAGTCTACAGTCTAAATACCCGACTTTATAAACACAGAAATCTGCTATATTAGGACTAAGAATAATTATTTTTAGATTATGATAATCGGAGATGATTGACTTACAAACACCAAATAACACAAGCAATTACAGTTTAATCTATAGATATGTTATGATGGAGATTTTCCAAATTTTTTTGCTTGTTTTTGGCATCTATAATCTTAATATTGTGGAATAAACCTTAGCAATTAGAAGCGATTAAACTGATGTGTAGTAGTAGTAGTTAAGGCTCACATGCAGATACGTGTGGTGCCTCCAAGCAGAATGATTGTCAAACACAAGCACAGAGAGTGCAGTTTATAGTCTGTATTTTCTGGTTCAAAGCATTCATTATCCTAGATAATTGCTTTCTCATGGGACAATTTTGTTTCCTTGTGGACTGAACAGACCACAAAGGACAACTGTCTCACAAAATAAAGGTTTACAGTCTGTCTGTACATAAATCTTTAGTTCAGCTTAAAAATGAAAAGTGGGTTGTTAACTCGCTGCCTTCAGTAAGTGTCCCCTGACAGTAGAAAACTTGACATTGGCAAGGACAAGACTGAGATCAAAACTAAAATCTGGGTCCTTATGATTAATGATGTCATGATTTAATGACTGGCATGATTTGGAATTCTAGCTGTTTGATAATGTAGACCATGAATTGTAAAATCATGTGTATTTTCTCAGCTTGATATTTTAAGAAAACAACTTCAGAGACTGTTGTTGGCTCTTTCCAGGTGTCTTATGACTATCTTTAAATCAACGAAAACACAAATCCCATGTTTTACTTATTGATTTATTTTGTGAAACCTATTAGATATGTTTGATAAACTATTATCTAACATAAAATTAACCTATCAGAAAAATTACAGTAAATAAAAACAGACAATGTAGTAATGCATAGTGCATTCAACAACAAATGCATTCAACACAAAACATAGATACATATATAAATAAATAAATAAATATTTTTCAATAATAATAATAAAAGCCCCATACTTCATCATACATTTATTAATTTTAGTTTCATATTGGCGTTATGTGAAAACCTATAAGATAGATAGATAGATAAAAGTATGATAAAATGTTAATTTTTATTATGTTTGTTAAATTTATCATTTAAATTACCAAAATTCCAGCATGCAACCCTGTTTATTGTTTTCTTGACAACTAATAACGTTATTTAGACTTTTTCTAGGTACATGGTGGGATGAGAAATGAATAATATTATAAAATGTTATATATATTCCACTTCTATATATAATAGAATATTAGAGAGTTTCAGACACTTTTTGGTCCCTATTCTGGTGGCAGTGCAAACAACAACAAAAATACAGTACAATAATATAATATAAAATAACATAAAAATAAAAAATGTTAGTTAAATACTGCAGTTTAAAAGTTAAATAATGCAGACTGTAACACATCTAAAACTCTGATGATACTGGTTGCCACACCCATTGCTTTAGTGTGTGTGTGTGTGTGTGTGTGTGTGTGATGTTTAAACACTCTTTCCATCAGAATCAAAATGTCATGCCTGAGAGGAAATGTGCACAAGTGTAAAATCAAGTGAAGTTTGCAGCCACATTTTACAAGCTGAAAACCGCACGGTTCAAAGCTCATTATAACCCACGCGCACTATAGTCTCGTCTATAGTTGCATAGATCCAGAACAACATATGTGCCATTCAAAAAGAGAAACAATAGAGAAGATCCAAAGAGGTGCGGACTTTGGTTTCTGTTAATGCGCATGATACTGCAGCAGTTGTACTACACCAGCACACTCCAACTCACCTTGAATAAGAGCATCTGCTATGCCATTTTATTACCAGGGGGCGGCTGATTAACCAATACACGCCCCAAAGCGCCTGGCGCTGGCCAATCAGAGCGCGGCGGGGGCGGACCCAATGGCTACATTCCCACACTTGGTTTCACTTTGCACTTCGGAACATCTCCGTCTTCCATAAAGGCGCTGGTGCAGGTGCTCTGTCTCTTCGGGGGAGGATGCCATAGGAAGGACGGGCAGGGGAAAAAAATGAAGGAAAACGCTGAGAGAGGAGAGCACAGGATATGATAAGCAGGGTATCAGACTGGAAACGGAGGAAATTGAATATGAAAGATTTATTGAAAGGGGCACTTTGAGCTATTATTCCTGGTTGGCAATAGTACTATCTTCGAACCTTTAGAAGAGCATTGAACCAAAAAAAAAAGAGGAAATTATGTATTTAAACTAGAAAATATCAGCTATGAGTCAATTTATGGACATAGTAGGGTAAAAATACTCATACTGAGTATTTTTACAGAACAGTACTCATACTGTTCAGCTGTATTGTCATCTCAGAAAAGTGAAGTAATGGTGGTGACCAAAGTTTCCCACAGCCTGATACCAAGCATCATCCTCTGCACTGAAGCCACACATGGAGTGTTACAATAAGCAGGGCCAGCGACAGTCTCAGTCTTAATAAAGCTGTGAAGAGCAGCTCTTGGCACAGTTTGCAGACTATTCAAATTATATGCAATTCTGCCTATAAAGTAAACATGTATTTTAGAATGTATATTTGAATGGAGATAGGCCTTATTTTTTTGCAGTGTAAATAACTGCCTGACTCACCATGTCAATAACAAAAACATTTTGAAAATAAAACGTGCATATCGTACAGTTTCCTTGAAATTCTATCTTTTAAATATGGTGTTTGTCACAGTATTGGGAAGAGCACGAAAGGGGTTATCATTAGGCTACTGTCTGTGTGCGACACCTGTGAACAGAGGTTCTACTGTAATCGGACCTGTTCAAACCAGCCAATGGAATGTTTGATCAACGAGCGCATCCTTATGTCTGTCGTTACCGTATATGTTCCAAAGCATCAGACGAATCAAGTTCACATCAGTGATCATTATTCAAGCAAAAGTATTTTCTCAGAACATGAGTCTTGCTATTTAGAACACAATTTAAAGCGGAATTGTCATGCACCAAGCAATCCTCTCTGTGATTAAAACATTACATCGTATACCACAGGAAAATTATTCGAAAGCAGCACATCCACTGCAAATATTTCTGTTTAAATTCATATAAAAATTTTGTAATTTCTGGATAATAATTTCATGAAATTTCAGTGTTTAACTGCATTATTGAGAGTGTCATATTTCATCTAAATGTGTATGTCAAATGTAAAACAGACTTTAAAATCATTCTGTTTGCTTCATTATTTCGCTCACACCAGTAAAAGAGTGCGTACGCATGGTCTAGAGTGTTCGTATGGTGCGCAAATATTTACACCTAGTTTATTTTTTATAAATCCCGATATGTGCGTGGAAAACATTTCCATGCCCATTTGGTGCTTACGCAACGTTTATACATCAGGTCCCAGGCCTGGATTTTCTCTCCTCTTTCACTGTCGTCGCTCCTCCTTTTATCCTTCCGGAGCTCCTCCGTGAGACTCGAGACCGTTGAGTGGTGCAGGTGTCGCTCATAATCAATTACTCCACCAGCCTCGCTTCGTTCCCACGGCTCTCGGCCCCGCCCCACTCGTCACAGTATAATATTAATATTTCCTCTGTGTCCTCTGTGACATAATTTCCTCTATTAAGGCCATTCACATCAAAGACCAACTATCGCTGTGTCTGAATAACAGTATGCCAAAAGAGCAGTATTTCCGAACTGATACCTGGAAGACCTACTACTTCCACTGAGATTTCATAAAGCCCCCCAACCACCATGACCATGAACCCAACTAATGTTCCTGTTAAGTTATGAAAACGTTAGTCCAGTTTTTAAATGTTTTAAAACGTTAAATGTACATTCCATTTTGTCATTTTGCAAACATTATGGGAATGTTACTTTTGAATGTTCTCTAAACATTCTGAAACAAGTTGCCACATTTTAAAGATGTCACATGAATGTCCATCTAAATTTTTCACAAAAAAAGGTTCCATGAAGGATTTATTAGGTTTTTTGTACTATTGATTTAAGGACATTATTAAAGACCATATGAATTTAAACAAATGTTCTATTAACATTAATGGTAGAACGTTTGTTCATAACTTTGAAAGAATCTTTCCAGAACGGTAGCCAAAGTTCTGAAAGCATTCCATGTTAGCTCTGAATAATAATTGTTATTAATATAAAGAAATACAATTTCTCTAAAACAATAAAAGCTTGTGCCTGTCACGATCACCAGCTGGAGTGCTCATGAGCTCCACTGGAGGGCACTCCTTACAACTCCGTCACAGACTACATATCCCATAAACCGTTGCCTGGACTTATTGTTGTGTGATTACTTCCACCTGTGTGTCATTAGCTTGTTAAGTCTGTGTATATAAGGTCTGTTCTTCAGTTGTGGTTTGTCGGTCGTTGGTTCCTGTACGTGTGTTTCTGGTTTACACTCTCGCCTTCTCCGTGTAGATTATGTTCCTGACTCCTCTATGTGGATTGTACCCTGGTTTGTGGATTGGATTATTTGTTTTTTTGTGTTCAATAAACCCCTGTGCTTGCATTTGGATTCTCGCTCCTCCTTGTCCTTGCTTACATGTTACAGAACGACCGACCAACTATGAATCCAGCAGCACAAATTATATGTCTCCGTCAAGGAGATCGGCCCATCAAGGACTACGTGACGGACTTTGTTGAGCTAGCACATTTGACTGGCATGGACAAGGTATGCTTGATGATACTTTTTCATGGTGGCCTATCTGAGCCGCTCAGCTCACTCATGCCTTTGCATGATCCTCACTGGACTCTGGAATTTTACATTGATCTGGCACTTCAACTGAGCTGCTCTGAATATACTGTGGGTGTTGTGGAGGAGAAGCATGGCACTCCTGCAGTATCTGCCACTCCTGAGCCTTGTCCCGTCATGGCCGCCGTGCCAGAGTCTCGTCCCATCATAGCCGCCACGCCAGAGTCCCCAGCTGTCATGGTGATCACGCCAGAACCTCCAACCATCAAGGGTGCTACGCCAGAGTCTTCAGCCATCATAGACGCCACGTCAGTATTCCCGGTCGTCATGAATGTTTCGAAGGAAGTCATTAAGGTGGGCCCTAGGCATTTGAGACTGTCTTCTAGTTTGGAGGACACTCCACTGACGTCAGTGCGAGCAGCTGGCATCTCTGCGGTAATGTCAAGCCCGGGGTTCTCCGAGGTGGTCCCGCTGTCTTATGTACTCCCTTTTACGGCAATGGCTATTGTGTGTGTTTGGGCTACAAACTGCTCTGCTACTTCTCCAGAGCTCGTTCCAGTAAATGAGCCTGATCCAGAGCCCACTCCAGTCCTTGAATCCACTCCAGAGCCTGCTCCAGACTACGAGTCTGCTCCAGCTTCTCCCGAGGTGGCAGCTTATGCTGCAGAACC